CTAATTTACAGTTACCAACGTTGGTTTGGTCTCATTAGTTACTGTATATATATGGTTAGTTCTGCAGTTGTGTATCTCTTGTAAGTAAAATTTGCAATTTACTTAATAAAGGATAATTATTTGCGAACATTAGTTTGAAAAGTCAAAGCCCCAAAAAATATTTCCATCAAAGGATATCCAAAATTACTATCAATAGAAGTGATCTGAGACCATAAAGTTGAAACAATTGGTTTGGACCCTAATTTAAATATATAGCAGTTCAAGTTTTCCATCAGTTTGAGGGCACTTTTGGACATCACGAAAAAGTGCCAAAATATCGTACCAGGGCTCCTTTAAGTATACTAACGTTTGCACTTGTCCATGCATGTTTCATCCAGTGCATTTATCCTCTTCCCTATGCAGTCCCTTCCAGCGGGGACAGGTTTGGCGTCTTCCATCATGATAAACAGCACCAGGCAGGTCACAACAGCACTCAGTCCTCCATTGATTGGTCATTTCTGTGGAATAAATTTGCATTCGTAAATTTGCACCCTCAATAACTTCGGCGCTGTTCTTCAAACATACATAACTGTTTGCAGGGAAATCGTATTGGAAAAAAAAGATTTAGGTTAAATTTAAGCTGATGCACTAAACTCACCGGACTGATTAAGCCCTCTTGTTATAGAGTGTTAAATATATTGTCAGTTTGCACAAGGCTGCACTTATGCTTGCAATTTTTTTTGCCCTTTTTGCCGTTTGCTTTCTATTTGATAAGTTGTTCAAGAGGTAAATATTACTTTCTATTGATCGTCAATGGCGAATAAAAAAAAACCTTTTCTCTTTCGGAGGCTTCCACAGCAATCTTCACACAATTATTTCATTTTTTAACGCAGTATCTAGGATACACGTGTTAGAAAAGTAAACAAACGCGTTTCGAGATAAGGCACATGGAAAATCACGATGTTACTATAAATTCTCGAAGTTTTTGACCCACTTTGCTTCGCATTGATAGCTGCATTAGTTGACAGTCGCTTAATAGAGACATTTGATGGCACATAAGCGGAACAACATTCACCTCCGAGCGCACGAATTTTTTTGTCCGACCATTTGTCGGTATATTGTCACAAATAAATTTACTCTTTGGTCCGCTAATTATTCAGCTTGTGTGGTATATACTAAAACAATTATTCACCTCAGTGTCGGTGAAAGTGGTGGTTATTTACCTCCACTTCGGTGAATAATTGCTAAGTAAACTTCTCAGTTACCAGTTTTAGTAACTAATCAAATTAGTTTATCTTTTTCAATCAGTTAACTGTTGTGCACATTTTGTTTTTATGAATATAATAAATAGAGGCAGATTTGACAACTCGTCGTGGGGGATACTGTGCACACAACAAATTTAAAATGACAAAAGCAGGAGCCTATGACCGGACTCCTGAAAAAGGTATTAGCTTTTAGGGTTGCGATAATGGGTGTAGTGGCGGAGATAATAAATTTCCCTTTTCGTGTAATGGAAAATTACATTGATAATTTTTGTTTATTTTTAAACCATTTCCAAATGATTATGCCGATAATTTATGTTTAGAACCGCTACTGATAGAAAGTTAAAATTTCATATGATGTATATAGCAAACATTAGCCTGAATATCACGCATTTTATCAGTTATTGCATATACTTTGCATCAAAACAGGAAGGTGCTGGGAAAGCTATTTGCTGTAAATCATCAATTTCAAATATTACAAAGAGAGAAAGGTGCGCAATCAATTTTGAAATCTCATCATTTAAAGCAAACTGATGACAAAGCATCGAACTTGATCGCTTTTAACTCCCGACGATAATCGGTATTACATTGTTATGGGTTGGACGAAAGCGTTGCAACGATTAAGAAAGGACCGGTACGCTGGTTGAAACTCACACAAAACAATTCTACGGAAAGATCATAAATACTCTTGTTCTTCGGCCAGTTCAAGTTCAGAAGGAAAAGAAAACAAACAGCGGTTACAAACATCACAAATAGACAACCCATGGTCTAAAAACTTAAGTGTATTAACAGAAAGCTTTCTTATAACACTATCGATATTCTCTTTCTTGTTACTCATGCGCAGTATGGCGCATGAGTTATAAAATGGGCTCTGTTTCTCCGTTTTGACCCGTTTAGACTTTTCCCCAGTTATGGGGGGCGGGGAAAAAGTCTGAACGGGTCTTCGCCCGAACTTTTTTCTCACCCGTTTAGACTTTTCCCCCGCCCCAATAACTGCCCCTGGGTCTCCGAGGATGACGTCTATCATGACTGTCTTGAATTGACTCCATGTTTTCTAAGAAATTTAGCTAAATTTATAACCCGATAGTGAAAAAATATTCAAGCGGCCACCTCCAATTTCCCCGAGGGTAGCCCACTGTATTATATATAAACCAAAAATAATTGCACAGCGCGAAGAAAGACCTAGGTAAGAGCTTAGCGTTACAGTATTTATGTAGCGATTGTCTAGTAAAAGATGACAACACGGGCAATGGTTAACTATTCATTCTTTTCACAAAATCGCACTAGTTGGTTGATAATGCAAAAATTAAAGTAGCACTTACCTACCGGGTATATCCAAGGCTGTTAAAACAGAGATCAATGATCTTAACACTGAGAATCCCCTGTTTTAAAAATACGGAGCATTATTTGCTCGATGGGACAACGTTCTCCTAGCAACATGTCGAAAAAGCAAAATGTATCTTGAAAAGTTAAAATGCAAACTTAACACTGAGAAATTTGTCGCCATACCTACAAATGAAATCAATTTTACACCAGTTGTAAAGTCTGGTTTAAAGCAAAGTTAAAGATGTATAACAGAGCCTTACAATTACTTATTTTCTGTAATGTAATTGTGTGATTCTCTCAGCGTGAGATGACAAACACCACATTGGTCGATGTCGGCGGTAGAGTAATTGCATTTGATCTTGTAGTAATTCGACATTTACAATATTTGTAAGCTTAATTAAAAATGAAGAAGGTTGATAAATATCTTTATTAACACCGGGTTTAGACAGAAAAAAATCACACCGTTGGCACCTCGTCTGTTAGAGTGATTTTACTGAACCCGTGAAACAGAAATTACTTGTTAGTGTGTAACATTGTCTGCTAATAAGTATTAGTGCGGGTATACAAAAAAACAAAGACTAGAAAACAAAAGAATTACTAACTATAGGGGGATAGTAGGATACGAAGTTGTGGCGTGTACAAGTCCACTATCTATTTCACGGGTTAAGGAAAACCACTCTATGTTATGGACTATGATGAGCTATGGTTATAGCTTGTGTTGAAAACCTCTCTGTGACAAGCTGAGGTAAATGGAATGAGCAGTTTGGTTTATATTTGTAACCTCTAATCGCTTTTTATTCTTCAATTTCATAAATAAATGTTAATGAGAAAAAAAAAGCAAAAACAAACAAACAGCAACAGCTCGACTCATAGGGGATATACATTGGGTATGCAGCTCATTCAATTAGAACGTCCTAGCTTCAATTAGAATGTCTTAGCTTTTCTCGCGCGAAAGGAGGAGGTCTATGTGGCGGCTACTCGTGTGCCTGTGTGGGTTTGTTTCACTCTATGGTATGGTTCTCTGTTGCTGAAATTAAATGTTTGTCTCTCTTAGCGTGAGACAACGTAAACACATATCACACAGTTCCATAAAAATCACAAATAGTGTCCCATTTATACCATGATCAGGTCAAAAAGGAAGAAAATAACTAAACTGGAACATTGAGTAGTATAATAATGACCTAGCATAATAGTCATTCGTTGTCAGTCGTCAGAATCAAATATTTAGGAGCGCAAGTGACCCACGAAGTGACGGCAACGAGAATGCCACTAAACAAGAGGTATACAGAGAAGAGCAACGAGGGTCACCCAGAAAGAAGAAACATGTTCCATTGATCCCTAAAAAATTTCACTTCTTCTGGATCACTTGTTCCCTATTAATAAATTTTGATAGTTCCCTAAAATTTAATTGTAGAAATACCCCTTGTTCCCTCAAATTAATCCTGAAAATATCCCTTACTCCCTTGAAAAAATCAGTGAACAGATTCCTTGTTCCCCATAGTTAAACCCCTAGAGGCCATCCACAATGACTGTGCACCTGCGTTATAAATTTTTCTTCATTTCAAGCCGTCCTCTGCAAAACAATAACGTAAAATGACCAAGTTCTGCGTGGTCTCGAGAACGCAACGACGGCACTTAATTTGTGGTATTTCAATTTGGGATTAAACGCTATTATTACAAGTTTAAGCTGAGTAAGGGTTTACAGCCAAGGGCGCACAGATCTTGAAAATTTTGAAATTCGTAGGTGAAATATAAATTGAAATAATTAATAAAAAGCAAATAAGTTGACTTAAGTGTCGAAGTGTTTAGCACTGCTGTTCTAATTTTGGACACAGAAATAAGCAAACAATCATTATAAATTAAACAGAAACTTGTTAAAATCTCCATTAGCGGCAGGCTGACTAGTTGGCCATTTACAAAGCGTGAAGGAGTTGAATCTGGAACAACCAAACACAAATTTAGGCCGTTTTCTTTTTCTTTACTAGCGCTCTTTCACCAGCATAAGCAACAGGAATGCTCGTAGATACAGTAAGGTGGTGGTCATTAGCACCTTTTATCCCGCGGGGAAGGGGGGGGGAGGTACTCCCTCATATGGGCTATATAGGTATGTGCGGCGCCAAAGGGTATGGTTTTTCAGCGGTTTTAATCATAAATAGGGTATCGATTTTAGCTGATTTTGGCCATTTTGGTCATAAATAGAGTATGGTTTTTTTCACTCTAGCCTTGATATGGGTATGTTTTTGAGAAGAAGCCACGTTTTCAACATTATCGAAAAGAAAATCAACAAAAGCACTTCACAAATCATTTTTACGGTAATTCAACATTGGATTCTGAACTAGGGAACTAGTTATTACGCAGGTCTGAAATAGGGTTTTGATTTAAGGGTCAAGTCATAAATAGGGTTTCGAATTTTTGGTCGGGTCATAAATAGCGTAGGGAATATCGCAGATTTTGGTCATAAATAGGGTGAGGGTTTTGGGAAGCGGGCCGCACACCGCCACCCAATTTTTCCGGGAGTACCTCCGGGCCTTTAATCATCACCTCACTTCATATTGGTTATGTTGCTTACGCTAATAATAATAATAACAATAAACGAACGAGAATCCCGCTTATAAAGCCAATAATCTATTCTTTATATTTTAGATTCACTATAGAAACCGTCTTTTCCACGAAGAGTTATGCAATTTACTTTCCACGGACGACCCTCAAAAATGTCCATGTCAATAAACCTAATTGGCCAATTACTTCATCAACCTGCAACAACGAAACAACTAGGCGATTTCAGTCTCCGTTTTTGAGCTAATGGTTAACAACTCCAAAGCTCAAATTTAATTATCTTTACACACGTCGACCAATGCAAGGTTATCTCCCGCTAAGGCAATTAAACATCTAATAACACAAAATTAGCGCTGTCTTACTATTTGTAACATCTTAGAATTTGCTTGAAGTCACACCGTTTGGACCGGTAAAGATGGATGACTGCAGGCCCCTAAATTCATTTTTACTAATGTTTCCGATGTCCGATGTCCGATCTCCGAACATTGTTGGTCTGTTGTCACGGGAACGTTGTGTTCTGAGGGAAATATGGCTCCTTATATGTGGTATACCTCCCCTGAGAAGAAAATTACATATTGCGCTGTGCATCTGAGCTCACAGTTTCATAGAACCGGGAGTTCTTAGCGTCAAGACCGTCAAACTCAGCCGCAGAGAAACACTGAAGAGGTATGTCACTGATATAGTTCTTAGCTTATGAGCCAAGAAAAACAGTTTTCTAGTTTTCTAACTATGGTACTTCGTAGAAAATCTCGAGTAGAAATATTTAATTATACACTCTCACGTTTTCTCATTTAATCTTCACTGCCTTTCTTTGTGTTAAATACAATTTAAAAGCCGGTTTTCATGAGCCTCGGAGTTTGGCTTTCTGCAATTAAAGGGCACCATTTGTTTTAGTTTAGAGCAACCTTTCAGGTCCAAGATATTTTTTCATTGTAAACGATACGATGTATACTATACACAACACGATAACGTACGAGCGTTTAAAAAGTTTTAACTTCTGATGTAGAAAGTGATGATTTCAAGATCCTGTACGAGTTTTCATTTTTCTAGAAAATAATTTTTTTTTTTTTTCAGAAAAAAAAATATATATTTTTAGTTCGATTTGTCTGTATTTGTCAGCTGTCCCCATTTGGCGGTGTTTGGGACCTCCAAAAGACGGAGTAAAGAAAAATTACAATCTTCAAATCCATCCCGTATCGCGGTTTTCGAAACTAGGAGACCTCCATCAGACGGAGTAAAGAAAAAGTACAATCTTCAAATCCATCCCGTATCACGGTTTTCGAAACTAGGAGACAGACGCCATTAAGGCTATAATCAAAGAATGAAATTTTAAATGGGACCAGGTATATTTATAAGAATTAAAATAAACATGTTCAGCGTGAAAGATTCCGTGCCGAAGAGTCTCCGTTCGCGTGTCGTTTATGAATTCACATGTGCTCTCTGTTATGCCTGCTCCATTAGTGAGACCACTCGCCGCATTTGTACACGTGTCCGCGAGCACCTTGTGTCGGAAAAGCCTTCGCATGTGTACAAGCGCTTGCAGTCATCAGGAACTTGTCGTGACTCATGCTCTTCAGACTCTTTCACGATTCTAGTTTCTGCCGCCTCGAGTTTTCAAGTTAAGATAAAAGAGGCGCTGTATATTAAGTGGGAAATTCCAACAGCACTTAGATTTGTCTCCTTTTTAATTATTTTTCATGTTTTGTTTATGTTATTTAATTTTTTGATTCTGTTTCAAGTACTGTTGACGCCACCGCAGCCTTTGTTCCCAATGTATTGCAATATTCAAATTGTTAACGTAAATTTTATGGCGTAATTCTATCACGTAATCGCGTATACACTGAAAATTCAAATGTAAAACCGTCGAATATTTGCAACTGAAGATGATATAGGAAGGACGTCGAAACATGTTTTGTAAAATTAAAAATGTTGTCTCCTTCTTAAAGACTGCTGTTAGTCTGTTGTCTTTACGACCGTTTGCTAAGAATTGAAATGTTTTTTAATTGATTGATTTGATTCTAACCCTTTGTCGTGTAACCAGCTAAAGAACCCTGAATCTCGCTTATTACCCAGACCGCTTGATCCAGAGACGTGCACACTTACCATGAGGCCTGATTCGAGCTCGTGCAAGCTAGCCCTTTATTGTTGCTTGTAAGGGTTTACGTAACTGTGCCTGCAAAAATTGTCTTATTCCACAGAAATGGCCACTCAGTGGAGGATTGCTGTGGTGACCTTCCTGATGTTTTTTATTCTGTTTGAGGACGCAAGACCTGTCCATGCCGGAAAACGATGCAACGGTAAGTAAATTTAACAACTCCGGGAAAACATGCTCTGAAACCCTTTTTAAATTACGTCGATAGTTCATTCAAGCAAGGCATTAATTTGTCTTCATAGATGCTTCGTAACCATCTACATGACACTTTAATTACAACACGATTATTTTACTTTAACGCCTCCGCGTGTTCGAACTATTTTTGCGATGATGCAGAGGAAGAGTGTCCAAATCAAAAATCCCATGGAAAAAGATTAGTGTTTAGAGAGGCCGGAATCGTTATGTGGTAAGCATTGCTTGTATAAAAGAGGATCATGACATGTGAACGTATTAGATAACTACTTCCAATAGAACGGTTTTCAACTAAGTAATAACCCTAGCCAACCACCAAGGACACAGACAGTACAGCAAACCAGTCAAAACTCAAAGTCATGTTACATGTATCTGACGCGGAGCACGGAAAAACGTGTGCGGACGAGTTGTGATTGGTTTTGGTCTTAAAGTGGCCAATCGTGCAGCGAAGTAATAGGAAAGCAATCATATTTTTTGACGCTCAAATGAAAACCTGTCCATATCTTTTCAAGATCTTTGTCAAGATTGTTGCAGGGCACGGCCTTCCAACTTCAGAAGATGGCACAAATAAGCAGAGATTTTACTTACAATATATTTGTTAAAGGTTGTGACTTCGACTTTGAATGCGAACATTCAAAAAAAGGAGAAGTGTGTGGTTGGATACCAGATGGTGAAGCTTTTAAGAATCAGCCGACCTTTGGTGATAACCCTAAAGCTCGTGCCAGAGAGCCCTCCAGACACCAGGGTGACCATTTTATTGGAGGTTACGAGAACAGGCAAACCCCAGATGATCCAGCCGGAGCAATTCAAGGAGACGGGCCCCAAGGAAATCTTACCTCCCCGACATTTAGAATAATAGGCACGTACATATCCTTCCTGATTGGAGGAGGTTGCGATCAAAGGTTTGTTCGCGCAGAGTTGCTTGTTGAGGAAAAGAAGGTAAGCAATAGATACATGGAATATTGCTTTCAGGTATCAGGTGTCTACTTGCCATAGATTTTGATTTTTGGCGTTGAGCGTTTTTCATTACGTCAAGACAGTCGTATTGGTGCTCAAAAGCAATGATACGGCAATCATGCGTGTCCCGGCTAATCCTTTGGGAGTTGATTTCTTTTCATATGTAAACACTTTCTTTGTTTCAATAAGTTTCCATGGATGCTATCCATGTGAGTACAAACGCTTTGTACTCCCTTTTAGTATTTCTCCCCATACTGTAACGTAACGGATTTCCGAAACTGGGGGCAAACATTTGTATCCGATGGTATCAACAAAATCTGGATGACCAAAGGTAATCCCTCTCTTGTATTTTTTTTTTATCACAGCCGCTTTTAGAAATCCTGGTGAATAGACCATTTTACAGTTGTCTGCTGTCAGTTGTCAGTGACCTGACCTTTGTATGGCAGCGAGGCTAGAGTTGACCTTGTTTTGATACAGACCTCACTGCATTTTTTGTGTAAAACAGGTTGTTCTGATGCTAACTAGGAGCATTTACATGACAAAAGCAGTGAGGTCTGTATCAAAACAAGGTCAACNTTTCGCGTCAAAATTGTAAATTTTTAAAGTTCCTTTGGTCTCTCAATTTCCAAAAGAGGCTTGGGTACAAAGAAAACAACACCAAATATAGAAGTTTGTCCTGAAAGTCTCGGAGCCATGTTAGAATATTTTTTTTTTCCATAACCTTTATTAACCATATTGTACTCAGTTAAATCAATAAATGTGAAAGGCTACGCTACAAGCATGCACGCACACACCCACACACACACATAACAACAATAACTTGGGTAAATGCTTAGTTGTTTGATAGATTACATTAACAAGCCCTTATCCTTTCAAACAAATTATAACCTAAAGTGACCGTAGCAAGCCATCCTTGCACTTCTTAATGTAATATTGATCTATCGAACGTGGCCTATTCTACAAACAGCCAATCCCGTGACGCAAATTTTTCTCACGTTGAAATTAAAAGCGGTGTTACACGCATTTTAATCCCCCACCAGGGGATGTTTTAATCCCCCACCATGTTTAAAGATGTTTATCTTATTGTTAAACGAATGGGAAAAAGGCCTTTTTAAAATTAAAAACTCGCGTATGTAATATCGAGGCCTTATTTCTTTTTTTAAGAAATAAACGATATCATTATCATAGGCTTTCGCAGGACAAAATCAGTGCTCATGCTGATGTACAAGCATTCTGACGCACTGTAGAAAACATTAAATGTAAAATCTGGAGCAATTTGTAGAAACACCAAGTTCCCTTAAGGGGGTTGGGGTTATGTCCCATGACTGGAAGTGAGCAATATAGTTTTCTTCACATCCCAATATATATTTTTCCCACAGGACTATTTCCGGGTGCGTGAGACAGCGACCGGTGAATGCAGCGAGACTATGATCACTAAGACCTGGGATGTCGCCGCTCACAAAGGCAAACGCGCTCAAGTCAGATTGGTTGACCGCAGCTCTGCTGGGTGGGGTCATATCAACTTTGATGATCTGAGAGGCGATATTCGCTGTTAGTAATTAAAAGGAAGGCAAAACTTCGTCCTATTTGCGAGAGACACTCTCTCGAACAGTATGAAGAAATGGAAATAAAGATGTAGTCGTAGAACTGGTTAGACATGAGGGAAAAATTATGTTGTAAGGTGCTAAAGATGTGGGAAATAAACTTTGACTTGAAAATGTCATTGATCTTTGTGCTATACCTAGTGATGAGTGAAAATGAGAGTTTTTTTTTGTTTTTGTTTTTTTTTTTGTGATCTATGTCCTGCGACACTGGATCACGAAACTTGAATACTTAAAGAGAAATATAGTTAATCATACGAAGACCAGGTGTCAGTTCCTTGTCGGTTGCAAAATTCACCCCTCTAAGTGCTCATTATGATAAATATACTAATTGTTAATTTCGTACGGCAGAAGTCTTTTAATGATAGCATAATCACTGAGTCCGGTACTTTCCTGGCTGAGAACATCACAAAGAAGAGAGGAGCAAATTTGTGTCGGAAACTAAAAAAATTACCAGTAGTTGAAATAATAGAAAATATATCGGCCAACATGCATAGGGAACGTGGCTAATCCGTACTAGATAGCCCAAAAAGATCCTACACAGCTGTAGAAAAGGACAGAAAGTTTCTTGGGACTCCCGAACTATGAGGGGTAATTTCTGTCTGATTAGTGATTGCGAGTATTACAAGTGTGTTTCTAAACAACACACAGGAATCGTAGCAAATCCGTACTCGATGGCCTTTAAATATTCTTCACAGCTTTGGAAAATATAAAGGACAAAATAATCATCATCATCGTCGTCGTCGTCGTCGTCGTCGTTATCATCATCATCATCATTATTATAAAAGCTTTATTTATACTGAAAAAAAGGCGATCAGCGAATTCAAAATAACAACGCTGGTATGAATCGGTGATCAGTAGGTAAAACACAATTTACAATTAAATACAAGTTAAGGTAAAAAGTAAAATAAAAAAAAAACTACTAAATATGTACAGAATACTTGATGGGACTCGCGCACTGAAATTTGCTATGTGATTTTTCTGCGTGACATTTTCTGTGTGACGAGGGATTAATAGCTGTTCTTGGTTAGTTATTAGGGAAAAGAAGAAAAATGAAATAAAAAAGAGAAAGTTGAGAGACGAAAAAAAAACAACAGGTCTTACATCATAAGAAATATGTAAATAAAACGGAAAATAAAGGATCATTCGCAAAGAAAGAAAAAAATTGGTCGACAAAAAGTCGTTAAAAATGGTGTATTAAGTGTTTGACGTTTTGTGTACATAACTGGTTGGTTTCATGGAGAGTTTTAAAGCGCACTATTTGAGGTGGAGATTATCCATTCATAAGTAGTAATAATAATGATAAAACAGAGCGTAACGATGCAAAAAAGCAAAATAAAGCAAAACAGTGAGAGAAACTTTAACCCGAGTATACATGAGCTCGTGTTACCTTTTCTTGGTGTGCGTAGAGTATTTTACATGACGACTTAGCGGCTATGCTGGTGCTCCAAAACAACGAAAATTTCTTTTGTTTTCAAGGAGAATTACCTCCCCGCCGTGGAAACGTTCTATTACACAAGCTCATCTGTTATACCAGGAGAAACCCCTAGATTGAAAAGGAAAATCAAACTTGTATTCCGTTGGGCTGAAAGAATGGAGTAGCGGGCATGTAGCGCCAAAAAGTGTCAGGAGTCCGGCCTGTGTCTGTACTTATCGATAACTGACGCCGTGACTGGATGTCTCAATTGCATTTTAGGATGAAGGTTTGAATGCCAATTGAATGATTTTTTTTGGCTAAGCTTGGCCAAAATGCAGAGAGTCGAACTGTTGACAGGCACTTGCAGGCGCAGACAGGTTTCTTAACAAATTATTTATTTGCGAGCTATGCTTCTTGTACAGCTTACAGGCTTGCCTGAATGTGATCCTTAATCTAGAATTATGGTTCTAAAATTTCATACAAAAATGATCTAGTTTACTTCTAAATTTCAACTGAAGTAAGCGTTAATTCTTACACCACCTATACCAAGGTTACTATGTGAAAAGAAATCTCACGTAGACTCGTGAATCGTGTATATAAATAAACACTCATTTTGGTGTATTCTGACATCAAGAACGCTGTCTTTGTAAAAGATGACGACCGAAATTTAGATCCCCAGATAGACTTCTGATATCAAAAGTATGCTTTTCATTCTCTAGAAATTACCTTAAATATGGTTACTTTGTTATGTCTGTATTTTTGCGATCAAAATAAAAACTGACGTAATGTTGAACAGAAGCAAGTGCGCTCATAATGGGTGCAGATGAATGGCAATTGCCATGTCCATGATACTTTAAGAGCATCGTAAATATTTAGGATTTCACGAACAAATGGACAACTCGGAAGCATAACTTTTTAGCAGTTATTACAAAATGTCTTAGAGCATCCTTACGTATATGATGTTGCAACCTTAAATCATTCAACGAGTTACATTCACTTTGATGGCATACTCCATTAAAGTTGGAAAATTACCATAAAGTTCCGAATGTTGCAGCCTTTCCTTGTCGCTCAGTCCTTCTTCCGGTGAACTAAAGCGGGGCTACCTTAGTGTATGCAAGACTATCTAACAATAAAAAAAGCTATGTATACATATCTATGCCCTAATACTTTCAAGAACTGCCCTTTATACCAGGAAACGTAAATTGCCTTTTCATTTGGAATTTTCGATATTGTTGTTTACCTCATTCACACCTCACATAGCCGACCATACAGACGAACTGCGGAATACAAACAAGAAGAGAAATTTCTTATTGTTTCGATGTTTGCACAGTCCCTCCCCAGCGGAGACTAATTTCTAGAAACTTCAGTAAAACATTCATCAGCTTCCATTTAACTGCGTAACGAGCCTTACACACTTCCCCATGCCTTATGGAACGCGACTTCGTTGATCTGCAGTTGCACTCTTCTGCTCTTCATTTGCATGCTTTTATCTGTTTGGCAGCGCTAGTAAGGCTAGGGCCTTAGCAAGTTCTTTTTCGTCGTTCATTTGATTATTTGATTGCCTTGGTTGTGGAAGTAACCTTCTGCGTTGCTCTTGTGCCTGCGAGTAAGTTAAATACTTTGTCCTCAGTGACCCGCGGTATGGCCCGTATGGAACTCTGGCCGATGGTCTCATAGTCTTACTGTTCGCGATCTGTTAGTAAAAAAAAAGGAAGGCAACATAAGATACCCATGAAATCGTTGATAAAATAACGGGTAGTATGTAGTTTACAAGAGGTAAAAATGGATAAAATTGTTACAGTTTGATAACAACCCTTTCATCGTCAATACATGATGGCTTTATTTTGATGGGCCACTAAAATTGTGTGGCTTGTTCCAAGAAGTATAAACAGACTTTACAAAATAGGTGCTACCTATTTTGAGCCCCTCTTTATGATTCCCCGGGCCTCTATTGGTCCTTCAACTGTGTACTTCTATTTGCCCCTTAACTGTGTCTCTAGGGAGTGAATTCATTTAATGTCACTAAATTGTTTGCCTATTTAAGTCCCTTACTAGTGTGCGTTTCTATTGGCCAATGGCGTGCCTGTTTTGTAGAGAAAGTGACTGACCCACGTTTTGATGCAAAATTATGGCGCAACAGAAATAGTGAAGTAATTTGCTAGAATACAACAGCATAGTGTTAAGATTAAAGTTAAATGCTAAAAACTCTTAAAAACATACAGGGTGGGATGAAGACATTATAAAAAGCGTTAGATAATTAAACTTACTGTCACGTGAAGTCGCCATGCAACAGTTATTCCATGCGCGTGGATGGTCGTGTTCTGGTCATCAAAGTGTCGTCAGTTGATAAAAACAAAGATGATACTTGCACGGTAGGTCATTAAGAGCCGTTACCTTGCGGCTTGTTAAAACGTCAGTTGGATTTTGGAAACCTTGAGTTTTACAGAAAAAATTGGTTTCTTAATTGGGTTCAAGAGGTTGCTGTCACTAAAAAGCGTTTAGCTGAGGCACAATGGATAATTTAGACTTTTAATAATAAGAAATTGAACTTACAATTCTTTTAGAATATGCGTTAGTTCTGAGAAGATGTATGGACATCTCTGATATTGTTGAATCCTTAAGAGATTTCTTTCTTTTTGCAAATGAACAAAATTAAAACCTTATAGGACGTCGAATTTGTGTGAAGGAAAAGCTTGTAATATGCTAAAATTGCTTAGTGGAGTCAAACGTATGTCATATTATACAACGTCAACGGTATCTGTAGACGGATAATCTGGATTACTGTTGTAGTGAAAAAAAAACCTGAAAACAAACTAACGTCAAGTTACGTCACGTCACGTCATGTCAATGTTCTTTGGTAACGATTGCTGCTAGAAAAATTGTATTTTAATGACATTATGAATTGCTGTACTTAAGAATTAGCTATTAGTTATTACTTTTAGCTATTAGTTCATTAATAATCAATAGCTATTAGACGTTTCACAGTTAGTAACTTTATTAGAATCAAGATATTTTACAATTTTTTTTTTGCATTCTAATAAAGTTGTATTTCATTGACTTGAAACATTATATTAACTGCCTTTGCTTCTCGTCAATATTTACATCATTTGTACGCAATTCTAAATCATTGATTAAAAACTGACCGCAACAAACTAGCGCTAACCATGTGTACTATCCTATTAAATATCACAACAAAAACACGTCATTTTAATCTTTACTCTTAGAGTCCCTTTGCTGCTCTCAAAAAGTAGCTGAGAAAATTCAAACATTGCTGAAATATGCAATTTACTTAGTCTTTTGGTTCAAAAGTCTGGTGATGCCAGGTTGGTTACGTTGACGCAGTACTCGTGTTTCGTGATTCCGTGTGGTCCCAGGTTACACAAAGCTTTGTTAAATAATGTTGTTGACGGAAAATTTTAAAGTCACAGGGTATCTTTTTGGATTCATCACCCTTATGAACTGGCGGGGGCGGCTAAAACCTCGATTTAGTCATAAGCCCAAACAGAAACCATCTTGGCTCACTTTCAAAACTATTAGCTTCCTTCGTCACACAAAGCTTCCTCCCTTTGAAAGAAGTGTTGTGCGATCATCTATTATAAAATACCACATGCACACAAAAAACGAAGAACTATTTCAAAAAAGTAATATCTAAAACTTTTGCTAAAACTTTACTGACTCTCATTATCTTCTGCCCATTCCTTTCCTGCTATCCTTATCCTTTCTAGATTTCTCTTTCACTCCACGTTTTCTCTTTTTGTGTTTTAGCTTACCATATCGTAACCTGAGAATATCGTTCAATACCCTAGCTAGGTATTGCTGTGTACTAGATTGAGTGTTAAAGGAAGGCATTTTTTGGAGTTGGTAATAAAGTTGATATGGTACTGTTTCTATGTAGATTGGTCGGTTAAGCAGTCCGTTTGTTAGTTGTGACTCTCTGTCTGCCACAGCCAGACGCTGCGGGTAAGCAACTCTTTGTGGCTGAGTTATGAGCTTGCTGTGTGGGTAAGTAACATGTGGGGATGTCCATGCAGTCTGGTATGGTATTAGTGGAAGAGAAGTCAATTGTGCCGCACCCTTTCTAAGCTGAGGAAGTAAAAGATGCGTTTGAGCTTGAGTCTTACCACGGAAGCGTTTGGCCAATGGACCAGTAGACATACCTCTTGACAAGGGAAAATTTGCTGACCCTGTTTCAAGGTTGTAGTGCGGCACATAAGGGATCTGTGTAAGTTGTTTGGAGCTTCCGTTAGGAACCTTGTTGAATTTTGTAACAGTTGATTTTCCCTTCGTTTGTCCAGTTACAGTCGGGTTACCTGTTGTCATAGCTACTCCTGGCATGTTGTTCAACGCAGCACTGGAAATTTGTTGTGTTAACTTTTGTAAATAGTTTCCGTCCAGTTTCTCCCCTTTCAGGCTCGTCATTTTCATAAGAGGCCGGTTAATTGTTTTAGGATAAAAATAGTAGTATAGCAATACCTTGGGTGACATTGTGTACGGGGATGCTGGCAAATTGCTAACAAGACCAGCACCTGGATGATAACTTGCAAGAGGGTTACCGTATGCTTGGAGACGAGAAACCCCGGTTGAACGACTTGATGCTTGTGCTACTGGTGAAGCCTGGTTTCTCCAAGGACCCCAAGGCCAAGAGTTTTTCCCAGAAATAAAATGTGGACTGAAAGGTGCTATCTGCCTCGGTGGAATTCCTTGGGGTATTTTCCATGTCGTTGGTGCAAGGGGACCTTTCGAAGGTATCTGCGTCCTTGCTGGTATTGTTAGAAGCCTGTGCTGTACATTAGGTAAATATGGCGGTCTTGGCATGTTACTGGAATAATATGGTCGACCTGGTGATTGGTCCTTGGTTGAAGTAGCCATTTGGGTAGATGGCATCTCTTTTTGCCATGGCGATGACGCTGGAACATCGCTCTGAGAGACATGCTTAGGCTGCTCCAGCAAGGGCATCTTATCTGCGAGTGATTTTTGTTGCTGTTGTTGCCTCTGAAAAGATATTGGTACTTGTGGCTTGGGTCTCCTAAACAGAGGATTCACATTACTAGGTCTCCGCAACGGTTGCATAAAGTTAACTCTCTGTTTCTGAACCAACGGTTTTTGAATTAGAGGCAATTGTTCACTTGGAGCAACATAGGCATTTTGAATAATTCCTGCAGTTCTGTTTCGTTCATATGCTCCGTTGAAAACGTTCAGCGGCTTCATTCTTTCCAATGTCCGTTGGCCTGTTGAATCTACCGGCGACGCAGGGTAATATGGCCTTTGCAAACGTAAAGGGGGTCCCGTTCTTGCGTTTTCTAGAGGCATATGCCAAATAATTGGCGTATGGAACTGTTCAGCACTGTTAATGTTACCCCAAGAAACTTTTGGCTGAATTATCTTTGTTCCTTGACTTTGATATTGTCTCTCGGGTCCCTTTTGAGCACTGAATCGTTGAAGCTGCCCATTATTATTTTGTCTCAAAGGAACTCGTTGCGCTCCAACGGTATTCAGTTGATTCAGCACATCAGGAGGACGATTGGCATTCACCTTTTGCATTGCGACGGGATTCTCATGCCGAAATGAAGCTTGAGCTAAAAATGATGGTACTGTTCCAGGAGGATGATACGCATTCAGAGGTTGCATAGTTGGTGGTACACCATGCCTAATTGAAGCCACCTTCTGCATACCTCCTCGAGTGTTATACTTGATCGAAGCTTGTGTTGCAAAGGGTGCAGCTAACCTAGGTGGATGATTGGCCCAGAAATTGGCAGACCACAGCTGCGGGTTTAGCTGCGAGGCTCCAGACAGCGGTTTATCTTTTGTGTATGGTGCAGCAGGTCTATAAAGCGTTTGTTGTTTGTTCTGACTTAAAGGCGCTGAATAGCCTTGAGGTGGTCGATAAAGTGAAGAAGGATGTAGGCCGGAACGATTTGGTTCTTCAGCATTTAAACTAGCCAGAATTTGCTGTAGATTACCGGCAACATAGTCCGTAGGAGCTGGCTTCCTCTGATAAGCCGGGCCCAGAGAAGTTATACCCTGAGGAACAGCCGGGTGAGCTTGTTGCAGAGCAATAGGTCCATTATATCGTTGCCCATTTGCAGGCGGAGTCATAATTGTGGCAGAGCCTCTTGTCGTAGAGGACTCCTCTGTCAACTTCTTAGGTTTGTTAGCTAAAGAAGAGAAGAAAATAAAATTAATTCAGTTCAAGACTAACCCCCAGAAAATTTTCTTAACACTGACATAGATCTAAGTCAAAGAGGTAAATTTTGATTTCAGGTCGTAAAAAAAAAAGTTAACTCAAAAGTCTGATTTGATTTCCGAGGTAGGTGAGGTATCTTAAGCAAATTCTCCAAATCTGAAAGTTTGCGTTTCTGTTTCCCGCAAAATGTAAAGTCCTCATTCCGTGACATCTAATTTCAGACTGACATAACAGTTACTTTGGAGGCTCTGGACACCAACAAAAAAAAATTCAATGTTTATTAATTCGGATACCCTTGGCATAGAAATTGAAGTATCTTTGAGCCCCTACTTATTTCAATTTACGTGCTTCAAAAATGCTCCTGTAATGACTTAAGAAAGAAATACGTGTTTACTGCTTTTTGTTGTTGTTGTCCGCCGCGCTTTATGGATGCTTGATGAAACTCGCGCAAAGAGGTCTTGATGGTCAGTTGCTCCAAGGCAATGGTTACTGGCTAATTTCGCTATTTCTGAACTGAATCTAGATTTCCACTCTCGGCTCTACTTGCGTAAAATGAATTAGCGAAAAGTGTGTATGGTTGTATCAGCGGAGAAAGTTGAATCGTATTTAATGTGTTCTCCATTAAAATTTGCGTCCATTAAAATACTTGAAATACCGCGAGAATGGAAACCCGCTTAAGGAACGGTATTATAGCTAACAAACGTACTGAAATAGACACGGCAGTGCCTCATCAAAACGAGAATTTCCAGACGTGGCAGCTCGCAAGGGAATATATAGAACTCATCTATCATTCCTCTTAATAGGCGATTTCCAAATGGGTGCTTGTGTCGTCCTGCGGAGATCAACAGAGGAGGGAAACGTTTGGTACATCTGCTCTAGCATTAAATATGGTTAACCTGCAGCGCAGATAGATATTGAAAAAAAAAATAAAATAAAATAAAACAAATTTGTCGACCGAGGAGTATAAGCCCAGCGAAAATTTTCAAATACCCAAAACAACTTTTGACTGATTTTGTCTTCTATCAAGTTGTTAACTTGCTAAAATCAAAATCATTACTTTACTGGTGGCTGGTAACTCCTTGCCGAGGGTGTATGATAAATTGTTCAGGTAACTTCAGTTACTTTTGTTTTCTAGCTATTAACTTGGTAACATGCTTGGTACTTCGTTATCTCGCAGTTTCATACCTATTCCCGCCTTGCCTCCCCAATCCAGAGACAACAGACCTTGTCCTTTGACTTCCTCTCGCATATCTCCATTGACGAAAACCTTCAAGAAAGAAACGCAAAAATGGATTTCATGTAAATGAAAAGTATTCAAACCCTAAGTATTCTAAGTGTTCTAACCTTAACCCTAAGGACATATGCGCTCCGGTCGTATGACCAAGAGGTCATAAGTTAGACCCTGGCCCATATGCTTGGGCTATGATTTCGGGAAGGACACCTTACTCCTTTTTTACTTCTAGCCTTTGTGCTGCTAGATGACACGGGTCTCATAAACGAATATTAGCGTCTCACTGATTTGTTGGTGGAGAAATCTCGCGTTAAACAAATGGCACAGACCATGGGGGTATTTTACTCTGTTAAGATGTTTCTAGAGTAGGGGCTCTGTCTATTGCGGTTCTGCATAAAATTATTTCAAAAAAGTAATCACGTGCAGGTTGTGTGACATACAAAGCAGTAAGATACAGTGTAGGCTTTCTTGGAATTCTACGGCTTACTGGCATCAAAAAGCACTTAATCAACTAATTAGCCTAGTTTAATCTCACGGACTACCTAATTAAGGTAAGAAGTTAATCTTCGGTTTAGATTTGTTTTTTGTTTGAAAGTTAGATTAGTATACAGTGCATACAGGTCACTCGTGGCCCCATAAACTCAGAGCTTGTATGGGTCGCCATGGAAACCACAAGTCTAAGATCCTGACTAATGACTTTTTTAAGGTATTGTGACCTACAGCCCTGGAGAGGAATAAGGATGTCTCTCTGGGGACTGTGACCTGCAACCCAGCAGATAAGATGAGGTTGTGACATCCCTTACCATACTAGACTAGTGATTTTTTCACTGAAAACCACGTTAACCCACATATCATTGTTGCGTTGTTGTTTCTTTTGATTTGGGAGCATTAATATATGATAGTCAATACATATGGTGGGATATTTCGTGCGATGACACTTACCCTTGCTCGCTGTTTGCTGGCACTGTACGTAGCGGTAATCTGTGTCCATACACCTTCCCTTATGGTAGGACGCGTGAGCAGACTAAATATTGTATCGTGATTTTCGTTTCTGTGGAACCAGCGTACTTTTCCATTTTCAATTTCAAAATGATACTGCCCATCTTTGTGCTTCGAATGGCTACCCACTGTGTCAAATATCGATTGTATGCCCTTGTTTGTGTCCAGTTTCACCCAGGTTGATATAGTGATACCTTCTCTGGGGATTCTATCGAAGTGTGCACCGTCCAGAAGAACGTCTCCACCTTAAAAGATAAAATGACGTTGAAACTCAAAATTTAACAACGAGCCGACGGTTATCTTAAATGCGGATCCAAAATCGACACTTGTGTTGTGTATGATGCACATTTTTCTTCGGGGATCGCTTTTAATTTGCTGGTCCGAGCACGTGCACTCGAAATGGATCACAACGCTTGCACAGCCAAAAATGCGCTTTTAAAAGTGAAATAGGTTGGTGTGGTAGATAACATAGGTAAATTCATGCAGCAATTTTTTTCAGAGCTTTAAGAGCAAATTTTTTCTCGAACAAGTGTTCTTTGATGCACTGGGAAGTTAGTGTAAAACAAAAGACCCCAACCTGTCCCTTGTAATACTAACAAAGAAACGAAAATTCAGGTAAAACGGTATAGGTTCCAAGCAGGGAGACAGGATATCAGGCTGAGTTAATGGACTTTACACTTACCTAACAAGTTCGCGGCATTGCCACATTTCCCAGCGTGTGGCTCTATTTGCGCTCCGTTGGCAATGAAAGCGTTATTTACACTTCCAGAGTCATCCAGTAATGTACCCTTCGAAAACCGGTCGAAACTTATATGGACTGATGGCGGGCAGTGAGCTAAAAAAAAGGACAAGTTAAGGCGTTAGTTGACCAAACTATCTAAAAGTGAAAAATTTCGTGGCACTTTGTTTGTTCAGCTGCGTATTTTAATGACAATAACTACTTTCAAGATTGCAATTAATTTGTCCATTTGACTTTTTCAATGTTTAGCATTATTTAGGTTTGCGTGCAGTAAATACTTTAATTATAATGGATAAATTATAACAGGATCGAGTCCATTAAATTAACAAAACGAAGCTGTCATCTTACATTCACAGTAGTCGCCAACGTATCCCAGCCGACAGACGCATTTCGATATCCCTGGTTTGCATGTTCCTCCGTTCTTGCACGGGGAGACCATACACGTCCAGTCCTTGTCCCGCTGGGTTTCAACTAAAACAGATAAGAAGAATACGCGATTAGCTAAAAACACCACTTTGGCGCGTAAGATGACACCTATATAACAGTGAGTGTAGAAACAGGTTTCCTTAATGGTTATTTTACTTGACTATTTTTAACTAGAGAGGTTAGAGATTTCCCATCGTGACTCCTTGTCTTTATTCTTGTGCAAAACACTTGACTTTGTCTATGCCACGTCCTCCGCCCATCAGTGGCTGAATTAGAGAGTTCTGCAGACGTGCACTTAATTTATTTAATATCACTCGATTGGTATAGAAATTGTAATGCCAGAATTATTGGTCATTATTCCAGAGCTAACAGTATTGACTACATTCTGTCACCAAGCTATGGGTAATAATCAGGCTTCTAGACTAAATTAGAAATCGAGTCTGTCTGACGACGTTTCCTTCTTACCCCAGCAATCCAAACCGTCCCCCACAAATCCATGCTTGCAGATGCAATGTCCTCCAACACAATGAGCGTTCCGATCGCAATGCTGACACTCCTCTGTACAAGACAGAGAAACATTTTCCAGAATAAGATAAAGCGTACGTTTACGCAACGGCCAATTCCCTCTAAGAGACAGGGAATTCAACATGTTGGATATGAAATTGGCCATTGTGTCGAGAAAAAGAATTAGGCTTCAAAAACAGCTTTATTCTAACCAAATGGTGCTGTAGTGCTTTCTCGTTTGCGATGTTTTGAATTACGTGTTGAATCACTAGAGTTTGAATGCTTGAAGGCTGGATTGAAGCTATGAGCTTCACAGCCACAAGATTTCCCAGTGTGGCCTCTTCCAGTGATGGACTATTTTCCACATTTAGGTTGTCTATATTTGTCGAGTCGAGTTTGCACTTACCTCCTTTTCCAGGAAAGAATTTTGGCGCTGAGGAGTACTTGTATGCTCCAGCATCTGAAATAAGAAATAAACATGATCAGTAAACGAGTCTTTCAGAATCCCCTTCTGAATACAATTGTATCCCAAATAAAAAGACAGTTGACACGAGTAGTATTCTTTGAGGTCTTTATAGGAATAGAACACATTGAAATTAGTAAGACTCGACGCCAAAAGACCTCTTGTCCTTTGCGTGGACAATATTCTCGCACGTCAGGTAAATTGGAAACATGGCAAACATGGCGCTATGAACCAGAAATTGTGTCTGCGTAGGACGGTTAAGTCCGAGATTGTCGGTACTGTAACTGTTGTCTTATTGCTTATCCAGTACAAGTCTAGTTAAGTAAAAGTCAAGTATGTGCAGTCAACAGTCTGTCAAACCTTCACATCTTGGTCCAGAGAAGTCACCGCGGCAAAAACACTCGAAGCTATCGTCAATTGTCTCGAGACACACGGCGGAGTTGAGACAAGGTTTGGAGGTGCAAGCGTTTGCTAACATTTATAAAAGATAAGAGTCAAGTCACATTTAGTCAGAAGCGGTTGTTAATAGTCAACAGTAATTCCCGGTCATTGAAGAAAAATGGCAAGACACTTTTCAAAGAAACGAGCTGTTTGTGAGAGCAAGCTTAAAAGAACAAGCTTAGTCTATTTGTGAGAACAAGGCGAAAAGAGACAAGGCGCTTTGCTCTAAGGCAGGGTGTGGGACAACAACCAATCAAGGAAACAACAAAAACGACAACAGTAAAAAATAAATAAATAAATAAATAAATAAATAAGGAAAATAAATAAATAGATGAAAAGAATGAATTGTTACGTCGCTGTCTTTGATGACTTTGAACTCTAGTCTACTGGGTATGTTTTTCAGAAGAAGCTACTTTTTCATCATTACTAATAAGAGCGATCGACAAAGGCACTTCAAGATGTCTTTAACATCGGTCTGAATTAAGTATAAGGCAGGACTGAAACAGGGTATTGATTCAGGATCAAGTCATTTAAAGGGTATCGAATTTTTGGTCAGGTCATAAATAGGGTAGGGAAAATTGCAGATTTTGGTCTTAAATAGGGTAAGGGTTTCAGTAAGCGGGCCGCACAACCCCACCCAATTTTTTTCGGAGAACCCCCCTGGGACTTTCATATTTGCCATGCAATTCACAGGCATCGCTTTTGTGACCAATTCACCACCAAATAAGAAAACAAGGTCTCGATTTAGCTACCTCCCTATGTTTAGCACGTTATTGTCTTTAAAAGGTTGCTCTTACTCTTCAAGTGTTCTGTTGTCTTGCGCACGGGTGATACCTCAGTAATGAAGTTGGTTGATTGAACAGGAGGTGGCGCAGGGGCCAAAGCTTGCTCGGGGATAAGCACTGAAAAAGCAAAACTATGGATCAAATAAAGAACTTGTTATCTAGTAATGACGCAGTAGGGCTGCTCATAGAGCCTATAAATTTCCCAATTATATTCTGACGCAACATTTATCTAGGGAAGTTTTTGAGTAGGTAGTTCTTCAGAACCCATGCATATCGAGCAGAATATATGTACATTCATCATTTTATCTCGCCGCAATGGAAACTCTCACTAACTGGTAAAAAAGGTAAACTGTCCAAGTTTTTTTTTTTTTCTTAATGACACTTCAAGAAATCGGAAACTTGAAAATGCACTTTGTTCCCTCGACACAAAACGTCTTGTACTCACTCTAATTTTGACCTTTTTACTCAATCGAGATTTTAGGGATTGGTTTATACCATGACGCAATCGTCCATGGTTTACATGGAGGACTCGGTAACCTGGTATTGGGAGTTCTAAGGTCCTACATTCTAATCATGACAGCATTCAACATTTTTTGTTTCTTTTCCTCAAATTCCCTTAATAGAGAGGGCAAATTAACAGAGACAGTCTGCCAACTGTAAAATATCAACGAATGGGGCTTAAACATTAATATTTACTCTACGGAATGTTTATGGTACCGTTCGAAACCGCAATTCTTACTTTACCCAAGGGCTGATTACAAAGTGTGATACCAACTAGATAGGATGAGTAGAATCCAAAAACTCACCGTTACATCTCGTTCCTCGATAAGCCTTTGGACATTTACACAGGTATACTGTGTAGAAGACTAAGCAGCTTCCTCCATTATTGCAGGGGTTAGGATAACATGGATTGTCTATTGACGACACAAAAGATAATGTTACTAAATTGTATTGAAATGCATTGAAAAAAAGGTATTAAAAAGTATTAAAAAGTGGGATAAATAGGAAATGAACACAGTCCCTAAAAATTCCGCGTACGCTTAAATTGTAGAGCATGGTCCAATGGCTTATGTATATCATCATGGGTAAGCCAATGAAAACTCTTGACTTGTATATTACCTTGCATCGTCTAATGATCCAGTTTTTAATCATTGATAATACCTCTACACACAGAGATTAGGCTAGAACAACAGCCCCTTTAATGCTTTAAGAGAGGACAACATATAAAACTGACTTTCACAGTGGGGGCCATTGAATCCATCTCGACACTTGCACTGGTAACCTTTTCCGTGAACCGTTACACACAAGCCATCATTTTTACAAGGATTGGGCAGACATGAATTAACTGGAGGAAACAAATTGCGAATCTCAATTAGGATAACTGCAGGAATTATATAAAAAAGCTTAACTCAGTTTAATTTATGCCACACTTACAGAAGAACTCTAGCATGTTTGAAACATGTTTTGCCTAGCGTCTTTTAAGGCAACAGCAAGCATAAAAGCTGCATGCTATGGCTATATGAAACAGTACCATAGTTATTGTAAGTTTGAGCTGGTATTAACCCTTTCTTCCGGCTCGCTCTGTCGAGGCTATTTTTATAAGTGGTTTGGGTTATTTGCCATATTTTAATCAGTGATGGAGCAGAACTGTCGTAAACAATCTAGTTTTAAAGAGTACCCTTGCATGATTTTTTTAAAATTTATCTGTTAATTCACTTAAGCACTTATTTACCCTCTCGCTTGCTCACTTGTCTATTTTTTTTTTTGAAATGAATTTTGTTATATTTTCTTTCAAGAACAATACCATCAAATGTCACCAAGGGACTCTACGGGTATGCTCCATCAGGACAAGGAAATAGAGAGTATGAGGGAGGAGACCTGCACTATCCCTTTTAACTATCCTTTTTAACTATTCTAGATCTGTCTATGAGATGTACATACCAAAAGCCAACCTATACGTTAAATTACCTTGACAGTTACGTCCTAGAAAGCCGTTCTGGCAGTGACACCTGTAATGGTTGTTCTTCTCTCGGAGACAAAGACCGCGATTTCTGCAAGGATTTGGAACGCAGTGGTCCACTACAAAAGAAGTAAATATGCACATTAGATTTGTTTAGATTGAATTAATTTTCCTAGATACTCGTTGCAACCCATTCTCTTCTTTTAGTAAACAGTAAAATAGAAATTGCTACCCTGGTGTACTCTTGCTGGTTTCAATTATGCTTGTTTGTATCTGGCTCGACGAAAAGCTTCTGTGCTATGCCATTATATTATTATATGGACGATTTTACATTTTAACCGGATAAAAATTTTCATTAAAGATATAAACAGATAAATGGGTAAATGAAATACTAGTTATGCAATGCTTTCGAACATGTATTTTCTCATTATACACACAAACCTTTATTTTTATACCATGCCATGTAGGAAACACATTGGCCAATGCAATCAATGCGACACACACGTAGTGATGACTACTGCTACTCACTATTTATCTATAATTTAGTATTACCTTGACAGTGAAAACCAGTGAATCCTGGCTCACAGGTACAACTGTATCCTTTCCCTTCTTCTACCACACAAACGCCTCTGTTCTTGCAAGGATTTGGATTGCAATAATCCACTGAAATGAAGAAGTGGGGTGAAAAAACAATTCAATTTTTCATAGATGGTAATTTGCTAATCTATATATTGCTCTTTTCTATTCAACAGGGAAATATAATTGTAGTCGTCTTTCTCCAAAGTTTGCTTATTTGATGAATCAGGTTGTCATTTCGTGACGCCCGGTACCCTGGTTAGCATCTAGACATGCACATGTAATACATTTAAGAAAATCAGAGGCAAGACAAGTTTCATATGCGGTTTCTATGCGGTTTCTGGTTATGCGTGGAATAGTGATTGTGTGAATGTGATTGTGAATTGATAATTCGGGGCACTGCTAGACTTTCGCCCTCTTTAGTTATCGCCTTAATTTTTTTTTTCTGCATCCGTAAATTTAATACAAAACAACCATCCCGGCGGCCATTCCTCGTAGAACCAGAAAGTGCAAAATTTATAGCCAACAATGTCGATTAAACATGCACTTGATCGACTTACTATGAGGCTTTAGATGTACTCTCACTTTTGTTGCTTCTGCAAGACCAAGTGGTCCGGTTAGAAGCTAATTTCACAGAATTTTACATGCATATTTAAATTGGAAATTCACCATCGACATATTTAACGAGGTTTTTATCATAGAAACAAGGAATATTCTGAGTCAAAAGGCTGTCACTTAAATTAAGCTCGGATCTAATATTTATGCCCTGTTCTTCTTCCTATTCTCGTACACTTACATTACCATAAACTCTTTACAGGCACTTGTGTTGAAAAATTTAATGTTAAATCTTTAACAGCTCTGAGAGGACCAACAGTTAGCGTTGTTCTTACGTGAATGCGAATGTAGGGTGACTGAGTTACATTGACAATGAAGTGCAGTAATCATCTCCGGCATTTAAATCAGCATAATGTTTAGCGGTTGATTGCGTAGTGTGATTTGGTGACGGTTAATAAATTTGGACGACTTGGGCAGGCAGGTTTTCAGTGCGCATGATTATATATATGTTACAAGTTACGGCCTTAAAGTATCTCAGTCAAGGTATTTTGAGATATTTTAGCCACGTACAAAATTACCTTTAAATTAAAGGAAACCTGAAAATAGTAGATTACTACGAAAGAGAAACACCAAAGGGATAATAATAAACCATAAAGGAACATGGATGGTTAAGGATGGAAAAGATTAACACTGATTACGAACGATGAACTTGAAACAATTAGGCTTAACTTTTGAAGATGCGCGAACCGTGACGTAGCTCCTTTAATATTAGGACTTGCAAGATGGAGTGACGGACTCAAGGCGAACTATCTGTTCACAAGTAGCTTGAACATCGAACCAAGAGAGAGACACCTCAAAGAAATTTCAGTCGCAATCAGACCTTGGAGGCCTAAACCTATACTACCAAACCATATTCCAGTTTACCAGACCAAAGTACCTCGATGGGAGCCTATTCCATTGCCGGCCATAACCAAGCACTTGACAGGTTTTATACAGAGACCGAGCCTAGAACTCGAAACCAAGTTGTTTCAAAATTAGCTGGGAGCAGAGTGCGTCAACACTCAAAGTTAGACACGAACACAGAATTAAGGGTAAATGAAAGCCAATTGCGAATGCTAGTTCCTGTCTTCATGCTAGAAGAAACAGAAACGACACAGAAAAGATTCTTTTAGACAGATTATCCACATCAATAATGAAAACAGCGGCATCTGAAACTGCGTTGAATTTTCTAGCGCCTACAGCATCAAAGCACAGCGGCAATGAATCAATAGATCGGCAGGAAGCGATATTTATATTAAGAAATGAATGCTTCCTGCGCTCTAGGAAGCTGCAAGTGAAGATGATTAACGAAGATGTGAAGATGTGTAACGAAAGTTAGTAAAATCAGTTAAAATGGCTTTGTTCGCATTGTTATTGCCCACGTAGTATATGGGTATGTTATACGTGCGCTGTTATTCTCAACACTCTGTTTCCTCGAAAAAGTGACATATTCTAAACAATTGCTTGCAGCTATGAACACTTCACCACGTTTTTCTCTGACATGCTCGTAAATGGGACTTGCCTTCACACGAAGCGCCAGCAAACGCTGCAGGGCAGCGACAAACATAGTTGCCTTCCTCTCCCAAAAGGCACGTACCGCCATTATTGCATGGATTGGGAATACAAGGGTTGTCTGTGAGTGAGCGAGGAAAATGTATGGTATGGACAAGCGAAGACAAAAAAAATGAATTAATTTTCCAGTATGAAGTCACAGCTCGTAGATACATTAAGACTATATAGCCCTTTAAAAAATCCAACTTTAAAGTTAGTGGAGCTTCGCTGGATTTTAATTTTAGTTATAAGGGCCCCACTGCAGGTTGGTGTTTTCATATCACTTTATAATTAAAACCCGGGGATATTGCTTTTATATACAAATAGTACTCAACCAGAATTAAACCAAACACTTTTAGATTGAGCAAAAGTGAACGAAACCTTGATCTTTCAACACTGTTTAGGAATTTTATAAACGTTTTGTTACTTTAGAAGGACCTTGCCATGTACCCACTACGATAATAAAAATTGACATATTTCTCAGGCAATAACTCACTCATCTGGCAGTTTCTTCCTTTGAATCCCCTTGGGCAGGAACAATCATACGAATGCCCCTTTATAGAGCAGGAGGCGCCATTCTGACAGGGGTTTGGACTGCACACCGCTACAATTAATGGAACAAAAGAAGTTGAGTATGAACAAACCAATGATCTCGTCGAGTATTGTGAGCCAGATCACAGGTCAGTCTATTGGCTTGCAGAAAACAAACAAACAAACAAACAAAAAACAAACAACAAACAAAAATAAAAAAAAGGATAAGATAAAAGAACGAAACTAATGTTTCAAAAATATGGACCAAACAAGCCAGTGCAGTAGAGTCATTGCTCTTTTCATATTGCTTGTAACAGTGCTCTGGAAACACCGTGCCAATGTTTACAAATTATTTCGTTTTTCAAATACATTAGGCTGGTGAAAGTCAAAATGAAATCGCCCGCTAAGTATATGGCGCAAAAAATATATACTCAACAACAAAAAGTTGTAAAAAAGATCAGCGTTAATAAATATTATCCAAGGAATATGGAACTTAGATTACCACTTACACTCAGTTGTTTTGTTCCTTGCTTGTAAAGCCAGACCTGTGACACTGTGTGTTGGGCTCGCGGCTTTTAAGTTGTTTGGAAGTTCGGTGCTATGGAAAACGGGCACGTTGTGTCGACCATCTGCGTTAACTTGGTTCTCGAATTCTAGCCATTAGGGGAAGACAAAATAATAAAATCAAAATAAAACACACCCTGTTTATGGTTAAAGTTGAAATAAATGAAAAGAGAGACTCATTTTCCAAACATGTAGTATATAGAGAAAGTTATTTTAATGTTCCCTGGTTTCATTGTAGTTCCATTTAATGCTACGAAGGTATTGTCGTTTGTGATCACCTGTACAGTTCGTTCCGCCATATCCCGACGTGCACTCACACTTATACCCTCCAAATGCTGTCCTGGAGCACGTTCCACCATTCATACAGGGGTTTGGATGGCACAAGTCACGTTCTTTGTAATAGAAATGTAACGTCGCGTTAGCCAGTGGTGTTGTATACAGTCGTACGTGCGTTGCATAGGAAAAATAACATTGTTATTGTGTGCTCGAACGAAAAAAGGGGTTATTTTTTATGTGACAAAATTAAAATTGCTTTTCAGAAAACGTTCTTTTTGACAGAATTGTAACATTGCTTTAGTCAAAGGTCTTGCCATGAACGAGGCATGATTCATTTATCAGTTGGTGAAATGAAAAGCAGTTTGGATTTTGAGGATTTTGGCCATGCAAATACAGTTCATTTGGAGTGTTTGGTCACGGCTAAGTCGTGTTCGTCTTGCCATGTGTGTCGTTAAAGGAGAAATAGTCTTTCTTTGTGTCAGATTCACAACTTTTTGGTAGGTATTAAAGGCATAAAAGGCAATTTTTCTGGTATACAACACATTCAAACACATGCGGTAGGTCAGGAAAAGTTTTTGTAAAGGTTTCCTTTCAACCTTCGTTAGTGCTTTTGTAGTACGTACCGTTACAGTTTTTCCCTGAATAGCCCGGTTTACACGCACATAAGTAATCTTCTTCATTGATTTCGATGCAACGTCCATCATGCATGCAGGGACTGGGATTGCAGAGATTCTTGACGCATTGATAACTGTCAACTCCCGTTTGATGGCATTTGTTGCCAAACTGGCAAGGATTGGGTTTGCAGAGATCTCGTTCTAGAAGTTAAGTCAGCAAGAGTAAATAGATTAGAAAATTGAAGTAAATTGAGATCTAATGATTTAGAGGAAGTAAAGATGAAGATAATATATTCAATTTTGGCTACTGGACTACGATGAAGGGTAATGCTTGCTGTCATGAAAGGTATAAACATTTTCAGGACAGAGATCCAGAAGGACATTTCTTTCTTTCTCATTCTCCGAGAGGATGAAAGGTTATTTTGCACTTTTTTTGGCGAGATAAAGCGATCTCCACAAGGGGAAAGAGAAACACAATATCTCGTTTGGAATCATTGGTTAGTACACAAAGGCCCAATGACCCACAATTGCCGCGCCGCTAATTCTGGTTCACTGGAAATAATTTACTTCAAATAACGGTTCCCAAAAATTCTCGACGTATTATTAAACTTTGCGCCTCACAAAGATGGCTCGGATTGAATTGTCATTTGAAATTGAAGTTGTGTGCGCGCACATCCTTTTTTTTTTTTNTCGGTGTGAAGACAGGCGCCAGAGTTAAGACAAGGATTAGGGCGACATGGATCCACATCTAAATGCAGCAAGAGATATAATTGTTGGTTATTGCTTACATTTCAAAATGTTACGGACACTATAAGTCACTTTTATCATTATTTTTCATAATTTACTTTGTGGAAAGATCTCCTGAAACGACAACCAATTAGAAAACTGCTAAAAAAAAATACAGAGCAAAGTTTCAGCACACTTGATGTAGAGAAATACAAGTGATTTAAACAATAGCATGTGATTTAAACTCTAGTACGATATCCTACACTAGCCTATCTTCCTATCGCTACTCTCAGGTAACTGATACTCTAGAGTAACTGCTTTCGAGTTACTTTCAGCATAGCTGAAAAGTGAAGCACTGTTTTATTGAGAACAGCCAAACATTACTTTGCAACAGTCTTGCATGCGCAGTGCTAGTGTGCATTATTTTTCGTATGCATATGCGTGTTATTTACGTCGTTAAGAAATGTTGTTTTAGATCTAGTTTACATAGGTTTGAACCGCATTTCGTTTCGACTCTCACATTGTACAGTACATACGGAAATGTTTTACTAAACTGAACAGGGGATTAAACTCAAATTTACATTGCGAATCGCGGAAAAAAAGCACCGTAATTCTTAAAGAGGAATCGGGGTATTTTTCACGTCTTTATTTAATACTTGATCGAAAATGGATACAAAAAATATTCAATATTTGACAGACCTTGACAATGAGTTCCACGATATCCCGACGTACAGTTACATAAGAAACCCAGTTCATCGTTGATCTCCATACACATCCCATCATGTAAGCATGGATTAGGGTGACATCTGTCTTTCTCTGTTATGAACAAAGTGATAACTTTATATAAATACTAAGTAAATGTACTTGCATTCACATGATATAAATTTGTAAGGTGGAACCAAAGGTTGATGCTGCTATCCAATCGTGCATGCTATCATTTAGTCACCAAACCAGTTGAAGACGTAACATCGTTAAAACCAAGGACACGTTGGTTATACATTTACTTCCCCTCCCCCTAAGAGGTTGTCGGAAAGCCACATCCGCATAGTTGTTCTCTCCTGTCTTGCACTAATCGTTAATTTTTCAAAGTGTTAGGTTACTGGAAAAGAAGCAAGAGCAAACAGGGAAAGCGGAAAAGTCCATATTGTACTTGATACCGTAATTGACGGGTCCCCTTCTTTTGGTTTTTCTTTTTCTTCTTACCTTCACACCTTGATCCTTTATACCCAGTGATGCACTGGCAAGCGAACCCAGTCCCTCCTACAACTTCTCGACAATAGCCACCATGTTGGCACGGATTAGGACGACATTGATCGATTTCTGGGACAAAATGGAAACGAAAAAAAATAATAAAGAAAAGACCACGTGCCTCAGGGCAAATCTTGGGATCTCATTTTCAACTCAACTTGGATTTCTCGCGTATAAACCATACATACATACGACTTGGGCGCTTGTATATTAAGTGAATTCAATAATTCAATGGAAGTGGAGGTTAATTTATTTATTCCGGTCTATTGATAAAAATTCCATAGATTTACACTTTAAACCTGGTTTGAGCAGACATGGCTAGTAGCTGTGAACTGTATATTAGGTGTCTTACCCTGACAAGTGGATCCTTTGAATCCCAGCGTGCAGTTGCAGGCGAAGCCTCCACCGATTTCCGTGCAAAAACCACCATGACCGCAAGGGTTGGGCCTACAGGGATCTTTTTCTGAAATAGCATTGAAGGAAATTGATATCTCCATGTTGCTGACACAGACGTGCATTTAAAACCCTCCATAGAACACAACCGTGGACCAGCCACGAGTTTACTGTAATGAGTTTTTCACAATAGAACGCGAAACTAAAAAACTTCGTCTAATCCTGATCTCATGACTTATCCACACATGTAAATACACACTATGTTCGTAGCTCTAAAAGAGTAAATATGATCAATTCCTATTTTGGTGTTTCCGATTCTTCATGAATTTACAGCCTACCCCGACATGTGGTTCCTCTGAATCCCAGTGGACATTCACAATCGAAGCCACCACCAAAAAAGTGAGCTATACATCTGCCTCCGTTTAAACAAGGATTTGGTTGACATTCATCTTCCTCTGCGAATAAGAAGTGGTCCGAAATGAACGACACATACGATATTAAGTAACTACTATACCCACCTAACGATGCCTTGCATGTTAAGTAAAAAATTTGATTGCCAAATAATTGATTGATTATACAGTTTATAGCACATAGTGTATGCAAGGCGCCATTCTAAAACCACAGACACACCTGTACATGTTTCTCCTCTATATCCCGTGGCACATCTGCAAACAAATCCATCGGAAGTAGAGAGACACTTTCCTCCATTGTGGCAAGGGTTTGGATGGCAGGGCTCCCTCTCTGATTAAAGCATCAAAAGAAAAATAAGCAAAATGGGAGAAATGCCGAATGAGCACAAAGCAAAACATCAAAGACTATTTTACTCGACTCACAGTAACTTTGGTATTTTGTTATTTCTCAATTCTTGTTACTGGACGATAGCCATCGTTTCCAACTTACCATTACAAAACGTTCCTCTGTAGTTCACAGTGCAAGTGCAAACAAAACCTCCTTCCTCTGTCTTGCAGGTTCCTCCGTGCTGACACGGGTTGGACAAACAACTGTCAACCACTGTGGTTTAAAAAGAGACTTACAATGAGACTGAGGATGAGAAAGATTCAGAGATAAAATTAAACATATAAATGGAACAATTGGTTAAAACATCTACGGGCCTATCACTTTGAAATTAAGTGAAACGAGCAGCTCTCTTCACATCCGCATTGTCGAAAGGTGTACCTGAAATTATTCCTCTTTCTCAATTGTAGCAGTTTGATTATCCATCGTTACAGATATGGTAAAAGGCAAGTCTGTAAGCGAGCCAGGTGGCCCATCAGGCAGGCGCTTATCTCCTGTTTCAGTGGCATGAAGCGACTAGGAGTACTTCTACTTCCCCCGGGATGGGATGCTAGTCCATCGCAGGGCTACCCCCAACATTAACTATACGCCAGTACCCATTTATACACCTGGGTGGAGAGAGGCGCGGTGAGAGTAAAGTGTCTTGCCCAAGAACAACCATCGTAATAGTCTTACTTTTACACTGCTCTCCTGTGTAACCTCTCTTGCAGGTACATTTGTAATGGTCGCCTTGTTGTGAACATGCTCCACCGTTGTGGCAAGGATTAGGATCGCAAGCGTTTTTTTCTAAAATAATAAACCATATATTAGTGGAAACTTTTACCGAGTGTTAATTAATAACAATACGTCTACGGATAGTTAACGCGTACATATCCAATAAGTTAAATAGGATAATCGTTTGATTTTTTTTTTTTAAGAAATGGTTGTCAGGGTTCTTAGAACTTTGGCCAGGAAAGATCCAGGGAGAACATTTCTTGGTGTATAAAAGAAGTACCCCAAGTTATCTTCTCACTAGGTTACAGCCGCATTCGGAGAGTTGAAATCAGCTTAACCATTATGATGCCTTACGGTAATTCCGTACACTAACCATGGAAAATGCGGCTGTATCCTAATGCGAAGAGACATCGTGGAATATCCAGCTCTCGCTATTTCACGAGGTAAGTGGAATATATCATCATTCTCTTTGTGCATCGTTATTTTCATGTTGTTATGCCAAATACGAAGGCGCAGTTTGTTGACAATAGCACAGCTTAAACTTCTTCTTCTCACATTTTGCAGCTTTAACTGTTCCAAGATTTTTTTGCATATTTTTACAGATAAGATTGTTCTTTAACTGGAGTATAGTTTTAGGATGCCAAGTGATTTTTCTGTGGCTATTTTTTCTTTCAACTTAACCATATTTATGGCTCTTCAATAGTAGTTTAAAGGTGAGAATTTTAATATTCAGTATAAGAAAAAAAAATCTCGATAACATTTTAAAAACAGCCTCCCAAAATAACAACAAACATCTGCTTGACTCGAGTAATGTTCTTTTAATCGCATTTATAACTTTTTCTTTGTATTGCAAAATGTTAAAAAATGTGCTCTTAAATGGTCGCCTAAAACCCACTCACAGCGGCAAAACCAAGATAGTCGCCCTAACGTTAAAATACGAATCGAATTAGACTGAAAAAAAAA